CTTGCTGTCCCAGTAAACTGCCTTTATCCCACCCCTCGAGGTTTTGCTGTTGTTTTTCCATTCTCCTCCCCATACCGCCGGGGGAGGGGTGAGCGAGCAGCACGTGGCACTTAGCTGCTGGCTGGGGCTAAACCACGTCAGGTCTCTAGTTCTACCTTTGGTTCCAGCAGGGCCAGCTCGGAGGTCGGAGCAGGTTGCTCCATAAACATCAGCATCTCAGTACAGAGGCTGCACATGTGCCAGGCATTGAATCCACCGTTGTGGAAATGGACACAAAGCCTTTGAGTGGCTCCTTGAACCCAGGAATTGGTATGCCATGCCTCCTGAGATTCCCAGGAACACCTAAGCTTTCTGTGCAGAGGAATGCGAATCCACTTTTCCTGTCCTGGCCAGTCTCCTGGCAAATGTGGTGCTGTAGGTTCTGAAGAGAATCAGAAAAATCTTTTTGCAGAGGTTAGTTTTGTCACTGAAATCTGGGAATAAACCTCGTAACACCAATGTAGTGTTAAAAGGCAGGCATTCTTTATTGCAGCGCTGGATGCATGGGGGATTGCTCCACCCAACATGCATGCCAGGTGATCACCAACACACAGGTTATGTAGGATCAAAACATACATATTCATCATCTTTCTCAGAAAAGGCAGTCCTATGATAATCATTTCTTAGAATCCATTTCCATATTCTCCTCCCCATTACGCATGCTCAGTGATTTGAGTTGGTGGTCCTCAAGGGTCTTTGGTGGTCGTCAGTGGTCTTGCACCCGTGTCCGCTGGATGACCCTCTTCTTGTGGGCATGCGCAGTACCCTTGCTGTGGATGCACCTGTCCCTAACGACTTCATAAGATTAATATCTCCAAGCCTATTGTTCAGTTTGGTAGGGACTGTACATGGAACATAGCAGCACTGTACCTTGCCATGGTCAGTTAGCTTCATTACGTATTACCTTGGTTACAAACTAATGATCTCAACCTGATTCTATAGTTTCTGTTTCACGGCCCCTATCCTACGGTTACAGTTTCATTTTACATGCTGAATTGCAGGGCAGATGAAGGGAGCTCAGAGCTTCCAGGCTCCCTGCCGCACAGTTAGGACATCAGAGACTGGAAATGCAGGTAGCGGTGTTGCGTTAGCGTACACCACATGGAAATGTTGTCTTCCTTTGTGCTTTTGCATAACCTGGGATCTGTCCCTTGGTCGCCTGTGGCTAAAAAAGAAACAGCTCCCCTCTTCCACCTCCCTCTCCTCCACAAAACAGGGAGCAAAGAGATGAAGCAGGGATAATTTAAGGGCAATACTGTCTAAGAAGTGTAATATTTAAATGGTAACAGTGAGAGAAGCAGCACTGCGTTTTAAGAACTTCATGCCAGAGGCTAACTGCTGAGAATTTATGGCTACTTTGTAAAGTAGAAATGAATGTTGGGAATGAAATTGAAGTGCTTTAATTTAATTTAATTTAATTTATTTTCCTCATTTCCAAAGCTTAGTCTACTCAGATTGCCGGAGGATTACCTCCAATCTCTGCAACCCAAATCTCTCCAACCTTCTCTCATCAAAGGTCTTTTACCCCAGGACATATCTCACCATCACTTCAGTACACTGCCCTTTGTCTATTTTTCAACTGGGTGAAGTCAGGCTATTCCTTTGCAAAGCCTTCCCTACAAAAGTCTTGTCTAGGTGCTAATCCCACTGTAGCACCTCATGCTGGGCACCACTCCAGCCTCCTTCTGCAGAGCTCCATTGGATGGGCAATTTTCCTGTTTCTGTCCTACCCACTCACCTTCCCAATCATTTAGTATTGTTTGCTTATTGAACATTGTCTCAGGAAACACATTTGTCCTCCACAGCATCAGCCATTTGCAATTGCAGGCTGAGATATTTCCCCTCGTGGAGCAGACATTGTGCAAAGCTGCTCCATTTGGGGAAACCCACTTCATGCTGCATAGGCATTTGGGCTAAAACCCCCCACTGGCTCATTTTTTAAAGAGACAGTTTCAGACTGGCAAAGCAGATTCAGTACATAAATGTGTGTGCTGGTTTTGGCTGGGACAGAGTTAATTTCCTCCATAGTAGCTTGCATGGGGCTGTGTTTTGGATGAGGAGAGGGCATTGGGAGTGATGGTGTGCGTCTTCCCAAGTAACCATTACGCGTGATGGAGCCCTGCTTTCCTGGAGATGGCTGAACACCTGCCTGCTGATGGGAAGTGATGGAGGAATTCCTTGGTTTGCTTTGCTTTTGTGCATGGCTTTTGCTTTACCTAATAAACTGCCTTTATCTCAGCCCACCAGTTCTCTTACTTTTACCCTTCTGACTCTCTCCTGTCCCACCAGGGTGGGGAGTGAGCAAGCTGCTGTGTGGTGCTTAGTTGCTGACTGGTATTAAACCGTGGCAAAAAGAAACTCCACGGGTCCCTGGGACCCTACTCCAGTGCTGGACTTTCCCCCCAGTGACTTTTTTTTTTTGTTCTTTCTGTCAAGTTAGTGAAGCATTACACAACTGAGTGCAAGACATCATAGCAGGGGAAGATGACCATCATGTCTTTTAACTTTTTTAGGCTGATTCCATGCAGTGACACTCTAGATAGTCCATGGGGTCTAGCAAGTGATTTCTCAAACCTGAGGGTAGTCATCTCTTCATCGGTTGTGTTACCCTTTGGGCCTCATTGACTACTGACCACGATTCGACTATTTCCCTTTAACTTTACATTGGTCAGACACAGCTTGAAGGAGCTGTTTGCATTAATCATGGCGGGGCATGACATAGCAGGAAAGGCCACCTTCCCCCTCCTTGAGAAGGATGGAAGCCAGGCTGGCCATGTGGGGTTTTTTGGAGCAAATGTGGGATGCCTTTTTTCAGACAAACACGTACCCCAGTTGGGCATTTGGGACTATTTGGGGCTATTTTACATACTCTCTAGTATCACTTTGTCCATAGGAGGCTCTTCAAGGCAATTCTCACTTCCTTGTTCCTCAGGCTATAGATGACAGGGTTAAACATGGGGGTCACAATTGTGTAAAACAGGGCAAGGTACCTGTCAGGGTCGACAGAATCCCTTGACCGTCGCTTTAAGTAGATGACCGTGGCTGAGCCATAGAAGAGCGT